GGAGCTATGGAGGTAATTGTTGGAACCTATGAGGAGTTTCTTCTAGGCTATAAACTCACAACAAAGGAAAATATCTGTTTCGTACAATCGTTTGCGGATAAATCCCATGCGGGTCCTTTGAAATGTGTGGCAGTACATAAGCATTTTGTGGCCACTGGCGCTACAGATGATCGCATCTTCTTATATGACATGCGTTCGCGCAAACAAACAAATGTAAGAAGCAGTAATGATGAATTTGTCGAAGATTTTTCCTACTTTCATTATTTCAGATCATTTTGTCACATGAAGGCACGATTAACGCCTTGGCTTTCACGCCCGACAGCTCTCACTTGATATCAGGTGGCGGTGATGGACGTATGATTGCTACTCGCCTAAATACTTGGGCAACAGAAGGTAACTGGAAAGCGCACAAAGGGTCAGCAGTCAGTCAAATCAGTTGCCATCCCAGCGGTAAGTTAGCTTTGTCCCTAGGCGCTGACCGCGTTTTGTGCACTTGGAACTTGGTCAAGGGTCGAGTAGCATATAGAACAAATTTAAAAAGTCGCAGCACTTTGGGACTACAACCAGATTGTCTTACTTGGTCACCGACTGGCGATTATTTTATACTTTGTGGGCTACGTGCCGCCGAGATCTGGTCAATAAAAACCGCAGATGTATTATTGAGTCAGAAGACACAAGAAAAACCCATATCAGTTTGTTGGGTGTCTGCCGACACGTGCTTAGTGGGCTTAGAAAATGGTAAAATACTTTGGCTCATTGCAACAGATTCAGAACAAGAGGTAAAGACGGTAACAAAAATCATTGAATTATAAAACGAGTAAATAAATGGGTTCTTTTAGGAAAAGCTAAGCGCAGCCCACAGCTCAAGAGTCAAAGCTATGGCTTTCCATGAAAATACCTTAATTACAGTCTCCAGGTTTGTAAGCAAAAGTTTTGCATAAATTTTAGTAATGCTCAAATAAAGTAATTCTACTTTTTTCAGCTCTGGTGAAATGAAAGCCTGGAAAGTGAATGTCGACAAGAAAAAATTTACACCGTTGTGCACAACCAACATAGGTTGCCGGCCAACTTGTCTTAGTATATTGGATCTAACGCAATTTGGTGACGAATATGCAACGAAAAGCGCCTCAGATAATGACACAAAGCAAACAAGTATTGCTACCAGAAACAGCGAAAAGCAGCCAGAACGTGGCGTTGTTACTATTGAATACGAAGAGGATGAAAATGATGTACCGCAGAATGAAAGCAATAAGAGTGGTTCTAGTTCTTGTGAGCCTAGCTGTAGTCAAGAAAAGCAAAAGTCGCGAAAAAGGAAAGGAAAAAATTTAGAGAATGTATCTAAACGAGAAAAGGAACAAGAAAAACCAAATGGACCGTTACACAAGAAACCGAAGAATAAAAATAAATAAAAAAGTTATGTAACAAATTTTGTTTTAAATCTACATAAGCGTTGCATTAGAATCTCTAAAATATAGGATATACATGCATATATTGTTCTCCAAATCGCCACTGAGAAGTACAAAACATAACGGGATAGGTAGAGGTAGAATTTCAGGACAAAAATTAGTACTGTTAGTTTATTTGTAAAAACTCTACAATTTGAAAATTTTCGCTTTTCTTAAGCGATGACTGATAGTATTAAAAAGCAGAGGTACCGAAAAAGTGTTAATAGTAAAATTGTGTAACAGCCCTTCAATGCTAAATAGTGAATAATTTCTTGTACATCAGAGCGCTTCGCTAGTCCTTTTGTCAATGAAATGATAATTCTCAGCTTAATCACATCTTTTTCTATGTTTTATTAAATATATTTTGTATGTTAAATTCTCTTTTTACACTCGTAAAAACAGTCAGTTTAATTATAATTGCTCATTTTTTACATATATCGTCGTTTAAAGTGCAAAACCGCGTATCAGCAAAATGCAAAACCACGTATGTGAGGTTGCATAAATTATTTTTTAGAGAGTAAAAACACATATTTCAAGATGGTTCTCTTTTTTATAAAGCAATCGCATTTGTGGCTAGTATATTTAAGGACGAATGGATAAGGATTGGGCTAAGAGCTTGTGTGAGCAAGTCCAATTTTTGGCAGCCAATGTCAGTTACGCGGTTCTGCAGAATGACGATACGCGGTTTTGTACTTTAAACGACGATATGTATATCGAACAATTTTGAAATACGATTGTTTTTACTTTCTAGAAAATAATTTATGCAACCTCACATACGCGGTTTTGCATTTTGTTGATACGCGGTTTTGTACTTTAAACGACGATATGTATATACACGCGTACGTATGAACATGTGTATATCCCAATTTGTTTAGTTAAGAATATATATTTGCAGGTTTTGTATAAGGTAAATTAATCAACTATTTTGTTTGTAAATAATAATTAAACATTACGTTATAATAGTGTAATAATATAGTAGTTTGAGTTTTATGAAATTCTCTTAACAACTTAACTAAAACTTCGAAAAAGTTAGTTGCATTAGTTAACAATGAAATTGGTATTGCAGACGCGTATACATTCATATTTTTCAGCCAACATTCTTCAGAGCCATACTTAAACTAGCCAGCTCACAATACAAATAGTGCATTTGTTTATGTGATTTGATTTAATTTCTGTTGCCAAGTCTTTGGTTAGTTGTATAATTTTGTTTTGTTAATAAAAACTTATAGACCATTCAAGTCCTTGTAGTCAATACAAGTGGATTTACATATGTTTACAACTAATATATAAATCATCAACTTGATAAAAAGTAATACATCAATTTAAAGTAAAGGCGATAAAACAACGGCCAAAGATACTGGGTAATAAAATGGAAAACATGTCGCAATGGTGGAAATGAAGTACATAAATAATTTTGCACTGTCTTCAACAGTAACAACAGACACTGTCAGTTGCTGTGGTCAAGCTGAATGGTAAATGTATTTGCATCAAACTCATCGTCTTCATCATAATCTTCGTCGTCATCATCGTGGTTACTATTGCTAAATTTATCTGGATACGACCATGCCATATCCTCGCCGAACTTATGTAGATGTAGTAGATTTTTATATATATGCAATTTACTATTATCAATATATGCCTCGCAAGGATAGCACCAAACGGACAAATCACTGAAGCTAAGTGCCATGGGATGTGCTGTTTCGATGCTGTGCAAAAGCATATGTTCCATAACATAACGACCGCAAAGTATTTTGTAACAGCTCAAACATATCCAATTCTCGGTCGCTGATGAGCATTCTTCGCATGGGGCATTGATATCTATGGCTAAATATGGAAAAGTGCGTGAAGAGAGGGTTTATTAGAACGATTGGTAATTTTTAAATATACGTACATATTTAGCGTTAACCGAAAACTCCGGAAATCATAAAAGGAAGATGAAAGTGAAAGAAGCCTTAAACATAAAGACATATGTACATACATGCGTATGATGTACAAAATAAAATAGAATGCATGCAAAAATAAAACGTACTGGATTATATGCATTTATACATAAAAGATATGAGTGCTAATAAATGCATGTAGATAGTTAGGACACAGAATTACAGTTATTTTGTTTGTCATTTAATCTATTTTGCTACTAATTATTGATTTGAGAGGCTTTTGAAGAAAGCGTTGTGGACTTCAATGAATTAGATATTGAATTTTAAATAAGTCTAGGCTTCTCTTATTGAGCTTACTTCAACTACAATTTTATAAAAACCATCCTGCCCAATATTTAAATTGTTTTTTTTTTTCAGATCACAACACCAACATTCAGCAATAAGGTAAGCTAAATACAATTAATTATTCTCGTCGCATGCCACAGATGTACAGATACATGAGTGAATATGTGTACAAAAGTATGAAAAAGAACATGTAACTGAAGGTATTTAAAATGATCAGCAGGATTATTTTCTTAAACTAGAAAAAGTCTTAAATTTTTTTATAAAACCGGTGCCGAGTACCCGAGGATTCTGAGTATCGAGTTTTCAACTTTTTCGAGTTTATGAAAATCTCCTAAAAGTATAAAAACATGACTCAGCCTTACTATGGGCACTTTCGCCAAAAGTGAAAGAAGCAAAAGCGAAAAAATAAATTTTTCAAGCCAAACATATTAAGCAACAAGTAACAAAAATAGTAAAATTTTGAAACAAACCTACAAGTTTCAGAACACGACATTGAAATCATAGTGAAATAATGCTTTCAAACAAAACAAAAGACACGCTGCTTACTTTTCGGCGCCTCCTCAGGGCGCAATTGTTTTAAATGAGGACATGTTTTTAATGGAACAACGGCGAACATTTCGTTACTTTGCAAAGCCTGAAGATGAATTTTAATATATTTTTTTATTCGTTTTTTTTTTTTTGAGCAATCATGAAAAGTAAAAAGTTGAACGTTAGTTGATTATTCTCACAATGCCAAATTTATGTATGATTTACCTCTAAATTTTCGGTGAGAAATTCGGTTAGGGTTTTAACTTTTACCTTCGGCTTACTGCCGCTCGGTTCCAATGTCACCTCTGCATCGGCGACGTTTTCACAACCAAGTACGCTTTTCGTGTCACCCGTGTTGATATCTAAATTTTTCATAGTAGCAGAAAGAAAATCCTCATTGTTGTTTTCACCCGCAAATTGTGGCAACCGCTTGTTGAACACCAAACTCTTCCAATAACGTTGCTGCACACTCAAGCAATTCTGTATGGTTTCCAAACAGCTTGTGTATGCCGCACTAAGGCCACGTGTAACATTGCCATTCACTTGTATGGCTGGAATGGGATCACCTAACAGCGACTTGCTGCACATTGTCATTGCGTAGGAAATGGAATTGACATTGTAGCCACCCTCTAGGCATAATATGATACGTCCGCCGGCTAAAGCTGAAAGCCAATGTGTGAAAAGTCCATAGGCTTCGGGTGTCACTTTACAGCCGCCAAGTGGATCGCCGATGGCGGCATCAAAACCAGCTGACACCAATACCAACTCCGGATCGAATTCATAGGCGATGGGCATAACAAGTTGTTGGAAAGCCATCGCATACTCCATATCGCCCATACCTTTCTACATTTATCCAGATGGTTATATAAGACCCAATACTATGTATGTATATATCAATATGAAATGCGAACTTACCTTATTCCACGGTATATTCACGTTAAAGCCCACACCAGCGCCCTTGCCTACAACATCGAAGTCAGCGTCTTTACTCTTTGGGAAGAATGTGCCATTGTCATAGCGATGTATGCTGATATAGAGAACATTCGATTGCGACTCGAAGATGTGTTGCGTACCATTGCCATGATGTACATCCCAGTCAATTATTAAAACCCTACAATTAAGTGATATAGTAACTACCCGCGGGCATACACATTAAACATTTTT